TCATTATTGGACCTTCTGCTCACGACCCATCCACAGGGCTATCAGGTTGTGGTAAGAGCCCCCCTGGGCTCTTCAAACCACTGCCTGATATCTGTCAAAGCGCCACAGGCCAAGCCTCCGCGTCCAACGGTGGTAAAACGCCGGATTTGGCATTATGGGTCGGCAGATTGGGACGGTATGCGTGACTACTTTGCGTCCGTCCCTTGGAAGCAGCGCTGCTTCAGTGACAAGGACCTATCGGCCAGCGCCGTTGCTATTACTGAGGAGATTGTAATGGGTATGGAATACTATATTCCTCATTCCAATCTCATCAGTAAGGGCACACGTAACCTCTAGTTCAATCACGACTGTGCTGAAGCTGCTTCGCGTAAGCAAGCGGCATATCGTGCTTGGATCAGAGGCCGCGCTCTTACGGATCCCGGGGTCGATTCGACTTCTGCCAGCCCTCGCAGCCACCTCTGAGATGCCCAGACGGAACACTAGCTCATTAGCTGCAGGAGAAAGCCGATTTACTGGCAAAACTCTTTGCGGCTAACTCCCGAATCGATGATTGCAATGCACCGCCACCATCATTACCTCATTGTGCGGATATCAAAATCAGGCAGCGTGAGGTTCGTGCCGAATTGCAATCACTCGACGTCCGGAAAGCTAGTGGACCCGATGGCATCCCAGCAGTAGTACTGAAAAAATGTGCAGCGGAGTTGTCTCCCGTGCTCATGCGTTTGTACCAGTGCTCGTATTCTTTGGGGCGTGTGCCGGAAACTTGGAGAGTTGCTAACGTGCAACCGGTACCCAAAAAAGGAGATCGCTCAGACCCGGCTAACTACCGGCCAATAGCAGTCACCTCAGTATTATGTAAAGTCCTAGAAAAGGTCCTTAACAACCATCTGACCCGCTACCTAGAGGATCACTCCCTGATCAATGATCGTCAATATGGTTTTAGACCGAAACGATCGACGGGTGATCTTCTAGCGTACTTGACTCATATCTAGGGTGAGGCTATCGACAAGCGAGGCGAGTCGTTGGCTATTAGCCTTGACATTGCCAAGGCATTCGACAGGGTCTGGCACAAAAGTCTTCTCTCCAAGCTTCCGGCATACGGTCTGCCGGCCCAGTTCTGTTCTTGGGTAGCTGACTTCCTGCATGATCGTAGAATTCGTGTCCTTACGGATGGTAGCAGTTCGCGGTTCATGTCAGTGAATGCCGGCGTTCCCCAGGGCTCCGTCCTATCCCCCACTCTCTTTCTGCTGCATATCAATGACTTAATTCCTCTTGGGAATATTCATTGCTATGCAGACGATAGTACAGTGCATGCGGGGTATCTCGGACAAGCAGCGGCTGGGCAGGCGGTAACCAAGGGGAAACAGGAGAATCTTGTCATTGAGCTCAATCGGGCTTTGGACCACATTTCTGTATGGGGTACCAAGGACTTAGTTGAGTTCAATGCTAAGAAAACCCAGGTCTGTGCTTTCACGGCAAAAACGTCGCCATTCCTTTTATGTCCTTCTCTTCAGGGCACACCACTGGAGCTAGAGAGCAGTATCACCATGCTCGGTATGGAGATTCGCTGTGACTTAAATCCAAAGAATTACATCGAAAGTGTGATAAAAACAGCCTCACGCAAACTCGGAGTCCTGAACAAGGTGCGGCGTTTTTTCACGCCCGAGCAACTGTGCTTGTTGTATAAGACGCAGGTGCGGTCTTGCGTGGAATATTGCTCGCACCTCTGGGATGGCTCCGCTAAGTACTTGCTCGATGCTTTGGATAGGTTACAGCGGCGCGCAATCCGCATCATAGGCGATGAGGAGGTGACTAAACACCGCGAGCCTCTTCAATTACGCCGTGACGTGGCGTCACTAAGCGCGTTCTATCGTCTGTACCACGGCGTGTGTTCTGAGGAGTTATTCTCTCTTGTTCCACCTTCCCCTTTCCTTCAGAGGACCACGCGCGCTGGCTTACGTTGTCACCGTCTAACTGTGGCTACAATTCCAACGCGTACAAAGAAATTTGGTGACTCATTTCTTTGTCGTACTATCCGTAAATGGAATTCTCGGCCCGCTCACGTGTTCCCTCCCTCTTACAACCTGGGATCCTTTAAAAGAGGCGTAAAGAAGCAACTTGCAGGCCGGCAGGGTGAGGATGGCTGGTGTGGCAGTTAGAACTGCTGTATCAGCTATCTTCGCGTCTGGACTTCACCTTCACTTAACATCAGGTAGGTTGGAGTCATTTGTCGGATCTATCTATAAAAAAAAAAAACTGTATATACACATTACAATAGTGGGTCTCTATTATACTGCGTACTTTCACATTGCTCCAAATATTCACTATCTGAAATTTTCAGTTACTAAGTAGAAAAATATATGATAAGTTTTTGGACCATTACTCCTTCAATTTTCATGCTATCACAATTTATAAAAAACCATTGTAAAGGTAATTAATAGAGCTACAACATCCTTCATTGCAATATATAGTAAAAAACCTTTTTCTAAAACGGTGAAGGTTTAAAGGGCTTAAGAGAGGCTGTGATTGCGCTGCCATGCGCTCTTTAAACTATCATATCTCCGTCATTTTTTGTTTGACAGAAAAAACAAAAAAACCAAATTGTTTGTCAGAAAAATACCTAAATATTTAATCTGTACACTTTTATACGTATCTGTCGTCATTTTTGAGATAATATGAAAAAAAAAGGTTTTTTTTTTTAAATTTGAAATTTTGTTTTTGTTTTTAATCGTGACTCTTTTGAAAAATATGTATTCTGAAGCAGCCAGACTGATACTATATATCAAACTCTTCATAATAAAGTTAATTCTAGGCGGAATACGATTAATTTTAATTTTGGTGGAAATGGCACTTAAACCCATTGATTTAAAAGAAAAAACATTAGATGCTCCCCTTATTTGCAATACAGCTCACTTATTTTACGTGCAAAAGACTTTTAATAGTGCTCATTTTAAAGCTTATTTCAAGCACTACAAAACTCTTTTGTATTAGAATGCATAAAATGCATCTGCTCGCCGCTAGATGGCATTGACCACATCGATTAAATTTCAGACAAAATAAAAAACGGCTTTGATCTTTAATATCTAGCTTAATTTTGCATTTAGAATACTTTATAAAAAACCAAATTGTTCATTGTTTTACCTGCTACAATTTTGTTCTTTATAAAATTTTCGATAAAACGAATATTTTTGGAGATATTTGCAAAAAAACAATTTTCAATTGCCAATAACTTGAAAAGTATTGGATTTTTTGAAAAACTTTATAGATGATTTTTTGCTTAAAATTAGGCCTTCTATCGATATCCGAGGTTATTTTGAAAAAAAAATTCACCCCCGAGATATGGTGGCAACCACCCCCAGGGTGGTTGCGGAGTTCAAATCATTTTCACTTTTGAAGTTAAGGGTAAGATAAACCTAATTCCAAAATTGTATGCAATTCGGTTCACAGTAAAAAAAATCGGAGCAATAATGCTTCAATGACTGCACTATTGAGTCTAGGCTAATTCGTGTGAATGTGGGAAATATTTATTTATTTTATTAGTGATCGAAGCGTGCTGCCATCTTCGTATCTAGCGGGCGACTGAATCAACTGAATGACCAATGAGTTTATCTAATTTGAGTGTGTTGTATCTGCACACTGATTGTGCATGTAAGAGTAAGACAATGTGATCAGCCCGAGCAATATGAAACATTTATTCAAAATAACATCGACGCAATTGAAAAACACGAAAGAACTTAGATTAAATCAAAAAGGGAAGATACGGCCATGGGTTGAGACTAAAAGTGAGCCGCTTTTAAGTGTCTCGCAGACATTTATTTTATTGGTCGCTCGTGATTCACCACTCGCTTACATTGCATTGAGTTTAGCTAATTTGAGTGTGTTGTATCTGCACACTGATTATACATGTAAGAGTAAGACAATGGAGGGGCGTTCAGTTTTAGATTAGACGATCTCTACGACGGGCTGTATCCGCAACTCGACACCATGTGCCTATTTTGCATGAGTAATGGCATCAATCCTGCCATCCCAGCGCCTCCAGAAAGCCCAGCAGTCCCGGCGATGTTGCTGGCTTCTACTAATGTCTGTGGAATTCCCAACAGAGAAGTCCTTTGTCTTGCAACACCTCTACAGTCCAGCAAAACATGGGCGTCTCTCCCCTCTCCAGTCAGGCTCTGCGCAATGAACCGTCAGAAAAACCTATATTTGCAAGGTGTTTGTAGAAATAGCTGTGATCCATGAGTATTCTCACGATTCGATTCAAGGCTTCTCGTAGTCTTATTAACTTACGTGATAGCTGCACTGCAGGTTTACCTTAGGAACGGATTTACTTGCTTGCCTGCAGTCTGTGAGTTCTGCCCAGTATTGCTGCCACTATCATATACCTTTATTTAGAATTGTCCTTCTTTAATCGCGTGATATTTTTTATTTCTTTTACTCCGCGTTTCCACCTGGTGCTGAGGTTTTGATAACATCCATTTTATTGATATACACAATCTATACTAAACAAAATGGCTATCGACTTTCTTTTAAAGTATTGATGTACATTTTGAATTATTTCTTGAAATAAAGACTTAAATCTTATTAACATTACCAATAAGCCTGGAAGCAGGCTTGGTGCATCTTTGAATCTCAGCTCCACTCCTACTAGATAAGGAAGGGTGAGGTCGCTGAGTATACAATTTGTGTATCATCCAGTTATTAATTAGCCATCCAATTGGACGCCTAAGTAAACGAGATTAACCTTACCTACAGTGGAAAAAACTGGATTAAATATAAATTATGTAACCAAGTCTTGGTCTGTCATCTTCAACGGGCTGATCGAAACTTTAAATAAGCCAATAGCTAAACGTTGATCTATTTAGCTCCTTTCAACCTAAGTATAAAATTAGATGTCGATGATAAATGAACGCCCTTGGCGTGCAATTGGCTGGCTAATTTATTTAAATCATTTTGTAAATTTTCTGTAAAAAAGGTAACGTTATGTTTACTATGATAATCAGATCGAGGAGTTGATCGAGAACGACGAGGAGCTTGTGGAGCGCGTTCATCAATTCCAGGAGACGATTGGGCTGGAGCCATCATTTGGAAACGCGCGCAACCTGGTGACGTCATCGGCACCGCCGGAACCTGAGACCCCGCGCGCGCCTCGCAAGCGGCCCGCACACCGAACTAGAGAGACGCCTAGAAAACGCGCGCTTAAAATATAAACAATTATGTTATAATGTCTCTAAGGAACGCACGCAACGTGACGTCATCGAACCCGAAACCCCGCGCGCGCCTCGCAATCGGTCCGCACACCGAACTAGAGGCGCTTCGAAAACGCGCGCTCAAGATATAAACACTTATGATATCGTGTCCGGGAACGTGCGCAATCTGGTGACGTCATCGGCCCCGCCCGAACGCGCGCCCAGAATAAAAACCTCTGTTTGATATAACTTCTTTGGTGCTCTTCATTAATTCACCTATAACTATAATTTGTTTCGTTTTGTAAAATCCTGCGGACGTTATTTTAGATAAACCTGTTCAATTCACATAGAAACTATCAATGCTAAATTGTGTGTATTATACTGATCCCCTACGTGTAAGAGTGCGGTTAGTTAAGCGGGAACTAGGAGTAGCATCCGTCGCGGAGATCCACTCTGCGACTACCAACCTACCCAATAGAGGTACAATTTCGATCACGCAGGTGAACAGTCGTTATTAAAACAAAATATAAAAAAAAATTAGGTGTAATTTTAGTTTAAGTATAGAGATATCTAATCCATATTTAAGCAAAAAATAAAATCTCATGTTAAACATGATAATGTATTTTGATATTTACATGTTTTTTGTCACTTCTGCGATTAATTGAATTTATCTAAATAATAACTTACCCATACTTTAAACAATTATTTTATTTAACTGTGTACAAGAATATCAACATTTAACGACATTTAAAACATGCCTTTATAAATAAATAAATATTAAATTACATTTCTAAAATTATAATTCCCATTACATATTATTGTTAAGATTCAGTTTAACAGCCAAGTCACTTTCGTTTTCTATTTTAACTTCCTTGCTAAATGCTTTTTGTAGTAATAAATCAATCGCGGTCTCCTCTGAAACAAATAATATATTTCTCAATATTGAAAAACTTGTCTTAATTCCGATTTTTCAATTCTCAAATAAAACTCGTTTGCCAATTAATAGGGAATATACTTGTAATATAATTGAAGTAAATTTAAATGAGGAGCTCGATGGCGCAGGTGGTTAGCATATTCGGCCAGCGATCGTAAAAGTTAAGGAACTTTCGGAATGCCGGTCATTGTATGGATGACCAAAAACTTATTATCTCGAGCCTCTCCGTGCTGCGGAAGGCATGTTAAGCCGTTGGTCCTGGCTGCATCTGCAGTCGTTAGCACCTACCAATCCTCACTGAGCTCGAGTGATGGGTCACGGCCGTGTCTCCCTATTCCATCCATAGGGAAGGCCTGAGGTATGAGTTCCGTCGTGGCAGCAAAGCGGCAGAAGCGGCACGCAACATCAACGACGTTTACGGAGCGAACCCTACTAACAATCGCACGCAGTTTGCCCGCTTCCGTTCTGGAAATTTCGACCTAAGAAATGAACACGACTGAAAACTTTAGTCGAGAATGACGAATAAAAGGCGATTGTGGAAGCTAATGATTCTTAATCCACAGCTGAATTAGCAGCAGCTTTCGATGTTAGCATCAAAACAATATTGGTGAATTTGCGTCAAATTTGTAAGGTAAAAAAGCTTGATAAATGAGTGCCTCACAATTTGAATGATCGCCAGCGTTCGCGCAACGCGTATTTCGGGTCGCGTCAAGTTGAGCCTTGCACTGCTCAACAGACACACAAACCAAGGCATATTGAATCGCATTGTTACTTGCAACGAAAAAAGGATTCTGTTTGACAATCGCAAGCGCTCAGCAAGCTGGTTAGATCCTGTTTCAGCACCTAAAGAATGTTCCACACGAATACTTACTCCTAAGAAAGTGATCGTCGCTGTTTGGTGGGCTAGCGCCGGTGTCATTCATCACAGCTTCTTACCAAACGGGATGAGCATTACTGCGGATGTGTACTGAGAAGAACTGAATACAATGATGAAGAAGCTCCCACATCTCCAACCAGCTTTGATCAATCGTTCGGCTCCACTGCTCTTGCACGACCTCATACTGCACACGCAGACGGTCTCCTAGTTACAAGAGCTGGGGTTGGAAGTTTAAGGTAATCCACCGTACTTACCCGACCTTTCCCCTACAGACTTCTATTTTTTCCAGAATTTGAGTAACTTCTTAGCGGCGAAAAAGTCCCTACGTTGGCAAAACTGCATTAATTGCATGGGTAATTACTTTGATTAATAAAAATATAGAAAAAAAAGGGAGTGAACTTATTTAATGATAAACGGCATTTTCACAGGTAAATGTATATATGTATAAAAAATCTCGCTAAAACTCGAGAAAGGCTGAACGGATTTATCTTATCTTCGTCTTGAAATGTTTGTGAAGGTTTAAAAAGTGAGAAACTGGAAAAATTGCGTGGAAGATAGTAAAAACGTCAATTTAATTTTCCCTTAAGAACTGTTTCTATCTTCTTTCCTGTCAAACATTTGACGTTCGTCCCTTTTGGTACGGTAGACTCGGGTCCGTCATTTCTTCCAAATTATTTTTACCCGTACGAAGTAAGCGGGGTCAACTAGTACCTAATATTTTTCTCTTCTACAAAATAAGGTTTTGACGCCGCATCTAAACTAATTAATCAACCCTGTTCAGGTTTTTGGTAAAATCCTACGTGCGAGCTCGGCGGAGACCGCTGGCGAAATGTTTTTACTTACCCAGAGCAAACGCGCGCAAGTTTTTATTCGTCGATAGCAAGTTCTTGTCGTGTCTTCTATACTTTGTGATATCTAGAAAAGTTACATGGAAGCTCGCAAACGCACATAAAAAAAGGTGACTTAAATTCGTTGCGGTCTCAGAGACCGGTGGTAGGTGGTCAAGGGTTAACTTATTAGTTTTTAAACAGTCGTTATTTGAGAATTATTGGAATTATATTTTTGAACCGTTTAACATGTCTATGACTCACCTGTTACTTGTATAGCCAATAATTGATGTACAATGTGTCTGGCAGTTATCTTGAACAAGTCCCGGCTACTTATTTTCTGATTTTTATAATACGGCATTAGTAATTTAACAACAAGGCTGGCAACATCCACCTTTTCTGTCTTCTTTGCTTTATTATCTTCCCGCTTCCTAACTTTTTCAGCTTTATGTTTTTCTTTCAGTTTTACCAAATCAACTTTGCCTTTACTTTTATTTAAACTTAAAACACTTTTATTATGCTTAGAAACTTTACACTTATTTTCTACCTTAATTTTAATTTCACTTATTTTTGGTGATTGTGATGTTACGGGACTAGGCAATGTGTCTTTCTTGGGATTTTCTACTACCAATGGTTCTTGTGGCTGCTCTGAGAACTGTTTCAATGACAACAATACTGCATCTGCCTCTCTGCTTAACTTATGTGCTTTGCTCAATACAACATCATCCACGTCCATATCAACTAAAGATGAATTAGTATCTATAGGGCTGTCTGCTGTCTGTGCCGGTATGGCATCTATGTCAGATTGTTTTTCAACATCATGTTTCGATGGTGTTGCAGATTGCTTATTTAAATTCTTCTTATATTCTTTTAATGCTTTATTGGTTTTAGCAAGTTGATTTTTCCAATCACTATGTACTCCAACTTTAGTATTATGTGATTCATTTGATTTAGGACAACTCTCTTTAATTTGAGATTCAATGCCATCATCTATAACTAATTCTTTTTCAGATTCGCTATCTGAGGCTGACTTCGAAAACGGAACTTCGTTCTTAAATGCTTTTTGGGCTATTTCTTTTGTATGATCATTTTTCTTTTTTTCTTTCTTGTCGTGATCCTTGTGCTGTTTCTTATGGTTTTCTTTTGAATGTTTCCTTTTCTTTTTGTCTTCGTGTTTAGGTTTTTTCTTGCTTGTGTCATCCACGTCCTCACTTTCAGATGATTCACCAAATAAGGCTTTAATTTTCCTCTTTGCTGTATTTATCTTTGGTGGCGATTTTTCATTTTCGCTTATTTTCTTTCTTTCTTTCTTATGACTATCGTTACTACTCGTTTTTTCGTGCTTTTCTTCTGTTTTGTCCTTATTGCTAGGTATGCCTTTGAGTGTTATATTTATAACAAATGTATTTTTATCATTTCCCTTGTTATCTTCATCCTCTGAGGTGTCGTTTATTTTTAAAGTAGTGTCGTTATGTTTATCTAATACGCCAGGTTCTTCTAATTTTAATGTAGTGTCATTGTTGTTAATGGCATGTTCATCAATGACGAGATTATTATCATCGTCCTCACTTGCGCCTGGAGAAGAACATGGTGAACAGTTTGATGCTTTCTTAAAGAAAGTTTGTAATTTTGTTTGTTGCAAAGAGTCTCGTTTAAAAGAATTCGCTTTCCGTTTTGCGTGTTTATCAGATTTAGAGAGAGATTTCGAATCCGAGGCTTGGCCTTGATTTTCTGGAAAAAGAAAAGATTAAATGTATTGGATGAAGATTCCCTTGCATACATTAGAAATTATGCTGTTTCATTAGAAATTATATAAGCATACCCATTTCCAATTGTGCAGCCGTGATAAACCCTTGGTTTTTATGTTTCTGAGCTTCATAATCTTTCACGAACTCACTAAGAGTGTTACGTTTTCTAGGCTCAAACGTCTTGAGTCGGGGATAAAGCTGTTCTTTGCAATCTTTTATTGATGATATCTGCAAAAAAAAAACAGTGAGTTGAGTACTGTAATAATGACGGAGCAGTCAGAAACGTAATGTAGTAAGTATATATTTTATATTGGAATAAAAAAAGGAGTTTCATCTTATATTAGTTAATATTCTTACGAAATCAAACTAACGAGTTTGGTCATAGCTCGCCTATAGAGGCTGATGACAGTGCTCCCGGAAAAGGCTTCGTATTCCAAATCGGCAGCGCATTGTTCCACGTCAGAGCGGGACAACGGCTTATCTGGCTTGTCCACTTCTCTCATACTCGACAAATTATTGTTCAGGGCGTCGCAGAGGAGAGTTAGATAACCCTCTCGTCCAGAGATTGTGAGTCCATTCACCTGAAAAATTCATTTATTATGCCTACTTTATCATTATTATGCCTTTACTATATAGTAGAAATTTTAATGTTTATTATATTGCTTCTTATAATTTAATAAAAAGGCATACAGGGACTTCGCTCTGGCAAGAAGTTAACTGGTAACCATCAAAGGAACGAGTCTCTTGCACGTTACTTAGGATATCATGTGCAAGAGGGACAGAATCATAAATATTTGCGATTCGTAATCATTTCCTCAATGACATGAGTGGATAAACGTGTTAGGTCGCATTTTTTTAAATTTCAGTTTTTTGTCATGATTGAAGGCGTTATGCCAACTCGGAAGTCACAGCACCTTCATTTCATATTGATAAGCGTAAAGAATGAAAAAAGTAATGGATGAAGGGTCTATGTACGCACTCAATGATAAAACACAAAATCGTATAATGGAAGAAAGTGTTATGTATGTACACCGGCAGCACCTTCACCCGTGATCTATCTTACCAGAATTGATACATGCATTTTTTGATAAAATTTAAGAACGGGTATCAGGTAGCTGTGGCAGGATATCAGTTGAGATGAAAACTAACTTTTTTTTTCAACACACCAATTCCTTTAGCCCCAAAGTTAGCACTGTAAGGCTTGTGTTATGGGATGCTAAGGTAACGGATAAAATACTGTACATATATAAGCATATTTATATATAAATACATATTAAACATCCATGACTGGAGTACAAATGCTCGTATTCATCACACCAACATCTTCCTCCACCGGGATTCGAACCCGGGACCTCTCGAGTCGGCGACACCATGAAACCCAGCGTAAAAACCACTCGGCCACGGAGGTCGTCTAACATTAAAGATCAACTAAAATTTGTGAAGCCAGAATACTATATTTTTACGAAGAAATTCTAAAAAAAAACAATCCGTTATAATTTTAAGTATTTCATTTCAATAAACACGTTCATACATTATTATTGTATTATTTACACAGAAAACACGTTTGTGAATGAAGGAGTTATGTACAGTTTTAATATATAGTACCCCCATAAATATAATATATTTTTAACGCCATTATATACTAGAATAAAGACATAATAACCTATATTTTTTAAGTCTAAGCATTGTAACTCTTACACCTACATTTCTACAACTAAAATTCCTTTAACCCTAATTTTATCGTGTTTTTGTTTTGGTATCATATCAGGTTCATACGCTCATGTCTTATTTTTATAAAATATACATATTTATTATCTCTATGTAATTTGAAAAATAAAGTACGACTCATACTTCTAATGAAAAGAAACTTTTCTAACTAAAGTGGCTCCGTTTCATTTACTCATACCATACCTTTTTACTAGTGCTGTCGGCGGCTCGACATTTTGAGTATTTAGCAGATTCAGACTCATCGTTTTTCTTCCTATCTTGCTCCAAATGTTTCTTCCTGTTGGCGAACTCTTTCATGATCAGAGATTTAGTTTCCTCCGCTACTCGAAGTCTGCTGCTCTCGCCGTCCGATTCGCCGCTGTCATCCGCGTAATATGACTGCATTTCTCTGAAATAAAGACGACGTTAATCACATTGATAAAAAAATACTACGCGGGTTTTAGATCTTGTATTTTGTAGCTATAACAAGTTACAGTATTATATAAATCTGTTCATATAAAAGGCAACTGTTACTGACTGACTGACTGATCTATCAACGCACAGCTCAAACCACTAAAGGGATTGCGCTGAAATTTGGCATATAAATAGCATTTTTTTACACCCATGCTTTAAAAACCTCTATTGAAGATTCTGTAACAGCTTATTGCCAACATTAAAACATCCAATATCATAATAAATAATAAAAAAGGGTAAATTTAAAAAATCAAAAAACCCGACTGCTTAATTATACTTCAAATAAAAACTGAAAAGAAAAAAACAAGTCCAGTAGTCTATAATTCTGTTAATAAGGCACAAAGCTACTTTAACAGTCGGGACCCATTAGATATTCAAGAATACATAATATTTTTCAAAAATGGGTCCCGACTGTTAAAGTAGCTTTGTTCCTTATTAACAGAATTATAGACTACTGGACTTGTTTTTTTCTTTTCAGTTTTTATTTGAAGTATAATTAAGCAGTCGGGTTTTTTGATTTTTTAAATTTACCTTTTTTTATTTCACACTTTTTAGTTAGTTAGTATTTTAAGACGGTATATACCGTAGTCTTGTTACTTCAGTAAGGGAATTAATATCGCGGGAATTATTAAGTACCTTGCGGTCGTCTAAAAGATTGATTTATTTAGACATATAGACTTTACCAGCGGGGTCAAGGCTACAGATGGGCCTCAATTTTCGCAAAAATGTGTGAAGTTAAATCAAGTCGTTACATAAATATCTAATGTATGTAAATTTTATAGTAAAGTAGCACTTATTCAAAAACTCATGTCTTGTTTATGTTCTTTTTAGTAGTTTAGCAGTAAAATTCGTCGACTATTTAAAATTGGCAGTGGCTGCATTGTCATGTCAACGTCCGGCTCTAAGATTGTGATATACACACACAAATGCAGTGTCATATCCTAGTCTCATAATTTGATATATCTACATAATTCACAGAAACCCAATATTTAGATGCCAGAAGTTAACTTCAAATATTGTTAATCACCCTATATACAATACCAATCAATGACGTTTATGTCACAGGTTTTAAGAAAGTAGTAATTCCCGTCTGTTGTTTTGGATAATGGTGGCAACTGCCTTAGATCGCTAAATTAAATAATTATGTAATTACCAAAGCAAAGTTTATAATATTTGATTAAACTAAAGGCGCATAATAAAATTTTCATAACGTTAGGTAGAGCACCATAGCAATCTCATTTATTATCAATTTATAGTTCTCTTTGTAGTTTTCTTTTAAAGCGTTCACATATAACAGATAAAAGACTTTATGATCGGGCCTTTTTTATTGGTAGTGTAAAGCTCGAATGAAGAGTACTTCCACCTATCAAGCGTGCTGCTACCAGCCTAGTAGGTATTGCAAATAGTGCAATCATGGCAATTATTTTTTTGTAAGTATAATAAAACTACCGAATAACTTATCACTGTTAAGCACAAATGCTTAGTAAATTTTATAAATATAATCAAATAAACCTATTTCTTACTTTATTTTTAAATCTTTTTCATCAATTAAATACTCGTATCCTAACTATCTATACTGATATTATAAAGAGGCAAGATTTGTATTTTTGTAACAAATAATCTGTCAAACTACTGAACCGGTTTCAAATATTAATTCATCATAAGGTACCTACAGACATAAAAATTGAACAGGCGTCCATTAGTGAAAAAATCTCAAGACTCGGAAACGGAAAATGCTAAACTCCAATTGGATATTGCCAAACTTGAATCGCGTCTTCGACAGGCTGAACAAACTTCAAGAAGCTTTAACGTCACCATACAGTGCATTCCTGAACATCGCAAGGAAAATGCTGTTGCCCTATTCAAAAAGTTGTGTGAAGTAATAAGATTCCCTATTATGGAAAATGAGATTCGCTCCTGTCGTCGAGTTGCCAAGCTGGATCCATCCTCCGACAGACCGCGCAATTTATTAGTGACTCTTCCTTCTGAAAGGCGGCGAGATGACATAATTTCCGCTGTAAGGAAGTTCAACAAAGAGAATCCCAAGAATAGGCTAAGCTCTACGCATATTGGTGTTAATGGTGACAAATGTCTTATATATGTGGGCGAGCACCTCTCGAAGGAATGCAAGGAATTACATGCAGGGACTCGCAAACTTGCAAAGGAAAAGAAATACAAATATGTATGGATTAAGTATGGTAGGGTTTACATTAGAGAAGATGATACATCTCCTGCACTTTATATTAAGGACATGGCTAGCCTTGATAAGTTGTAGAGATATGTGAGCATGGTCTTTTAGATTAACTGTGATATTTGGCAAATAAATTGTGTTTTTCCTATGTTAATATTTTATCAGAACGTTAATAGAATTAAAAGTAAATTACAACAATTGTATATTAATATTTTGAATGATAATTATGATGCCATTTGTATATGTGAGACTAACTTGGATAGTTCATATTCCAACAGTGAATTTGTAGATGACAGGTACACCGTTTTCCGTAGAGACCGTGAAACTGCTAAGTCAACTAAGAAGTCTGGTGGCGGAGTACTCTTAGCTCTTAAAAAAAGCTTTCTTGCTGTAAGGCGACCTGACTTGGAAAGTGATTTTGAGGATCTGTGGGTTGAAGTGCGTGATTTTCGAGGCTCTATATTAAACATTTACCTGGTGTACCTACCTCCAAACCTAAGTGCCAGCGAGTACCAAACATTTTTTGAACACTCTTCTGACAGATTACTAAGCCTCAGTAGTAAGTCTAAGACAATTATGGTCGGTGACTTCAATATTCCTGGGCTTACGTGGACATCTGACGGTGGCTCCTCCTCTAGTTTGATCCCTGGAGAGGCTTATGACATAAAATCAAAATCGCTCTTGCATTTTTTGGAATTAGAAAATCTGTCTCAGTTTAATCATATACGTAATTCTAACGATCGAATACTTGATCTAGTTATAACTGATCTTCCAGACGTAAAAATTACTGAATGTTGTCCATTGAGTACACCTGATCGTCATCATCCACATGTTGAAATTGACGCAAACATAGAGTATAAAGCGAATGATATGATTTCCAAAAAAGTTAAAATACCTAATTTTTTTAAATGTAACATGTCTGAATGCATTAAACAGCTTAGGGAAATAGATTGGAGAAGTGTTCTTGATAACGATGACGTCAACTCTGATATCGATTGCTTCTACAACATTTTGAACGACATTATTATGAAGAATACGCCTCTTAAGCGTATTGGAAAGTCGAATTATCCAGTTTGGTTTTCAGAGCCCGTGAAAGCATGTATTTCTGAAAAAAAAGCAGCTCACAGGAAATTTAAAAAATTTGGGACTATGACGAATTTTGCTTGCTACGCTTCCAGGTCGAAAAAACTCATAAAAGATTGCTACGAGTCCTATATCTCCAGTGTGGAGGAGTCTCTCAATGTGTCTAACAAACTATTTTTTTCTTTTGTTAAAAGCAAAAAAATAAGTACAGCAGGTCCTGATACAGTGAAATTTGGCGATAGAATTGCTACAGGTGGCCAGGCAGCGACGGAGCTATTTTCCGATTATTTTTCCTCAGTTTTCGTGCCTGATGTTGGTAGTTGCACTCTTAGAGAGGATAAAGTCTGTCCCGGTTACTCTTTGACATCGATAAGCATTTTGGAGAAAGACGTACTTAAAAAATTAAAAGATTTGTCTGTAAATAAGGGTGCTGGCCCTGACGGCATTCCTCCTCTTTTGATCAGGAGCTGTGCGGCCGCCTTATCCTTACCTCTGCATATTATTTTTAATAAGTCATTACAAAGCGGTATCTTTCCAGACACATGGAAGTTGGCTCATATTGTACCCATACATAAGTCAGGTGATCCTAGCGACTGCTCTAATTACAGACCTATTAGCATCTTGTCCAGCTTCGCTAAAGTGTTTGAGTCTATGGTCTACTCTCACCTTTTCCATCATATTAGACCTCACCTTCATCAATCGCAACACGGTTTTGTGGAGGGTAAGTCGACGGTTAGTAATTTGATGGAGTACAGCAGCTATATCTGTAAAGTATTCGACGACCACGCCCAGGTGGACTCTATATACACGGACTTTAAAAAAGCGTTTGATAGAGTCAGCCATAGAATTCTGCTTTACAAGTTGAACTGCATGGACGGTAATCTCTTTCGCTGGCTGAAATCCTACATTTTAAACCGCAGTCAGTTGGTTGCTTTGAAGGGATATCGCTCTCAGCCTGTCTCCATAAGTTCTGGTGTTCCGCAGGGCTCGCATTTGGGACCTTTACTTTTTGTCCTGTTCATTAACGACCTAATCCCAAAACTAAAAAATATGTCATTACTGTATGCGGATGACTTGAAAATATTTAAACGCATAGATTCGGTAAGAGATTGCAGTCAGTTACAAACAGATATCATGACTTTGTTTGATTGGTGTAAAATTTTATATTTCTAATTTGATTAATGAATTGTGCATGTCTTAATCTCATTAAAATTTTTATTAATGAATTCTATGTTAATGTAATTATTAAAATTTTTGATTTTTAATGTATAGTTGCTGTGTACTTGTATAAACATGCTGTTTGCACATGCTAGTGGAGTTCAGTATTTTTTTTATCAATTGTTTTTCTATGTGTCCTTTACCATTTTGCTTGCTGTAACTCTGTTTTGTGCAATAAATAAATAAATAAAAATAAAATAAAATACATACATTATTTATTATTACATTTTTCTTTATTTAAATACATTTTGTCCGAGTGACATAGGCTATATTTTATTAAATTAATATTAAAATAAATTCCGCCCGTACTATGCCCGGTCACTAGTAAGTATAATATAATATTATAGATGCGAAATTGAGTTTGTTTGTTGCGCTTTTGTGCCCTAATAGCTAAATCGATTATAATGAATTCCCCTATAGAAGTAGATGGGACCTTGGTTCTTGGTTCGTATCGCAATACGAATAGGCGTAGGGTGATGAAAGGTGTAATTTACCTATAAAAATCTATATTGTTTACTTCCAATTTTGCAGAATTATCGTTTATAATTACAAAACCAATATTATCGCGAGCTGATACCTACTAGCGAAAAATGGGTTATTTGTCATTATATTAAGTAAACCTTTTTTGTAACATTAAGTAATATCGTTAAAAAAATAAAAACAGTATAATTCTTAGTTTTTCATTAAAATTCAATAATCATAAATACCTATTATGATAATTTATTTTTCATCATTTAATAAGAAGGAACTGTATCACAATTTTATTGTAAGTACTTCGTATAGGATCAGATACTGCGAGTAGCCCATTTTTTTCTTTTTCGCCTAGGTTTTATCCACGTTTATAAACACCTTAATTAAATTTCTTCTCTTAGTAATCCCGCATGCTACTCCTACATAGTACATCGCGCTATCACTTTGTCATCGTTGTATCTTTTTAAATATTTGTCGAAATGACATAGTGTAAAAGGCAAAGTTTATCGTCTTTAAATACCAAAAGCGACAAAAGTATTTGTTTTGATAAAAAATAATTTGTTAATACAAAATGTGCATTTTGGAAATAGATATCAAATAATATTTTAGTTTTGATACACTATTTTAGCGGTAATGGCTTACACATTAAAAATAGATATATGGTGTCACGGACTATTTTTTAGAACTATTTAAGAGATACATTTTCACTCTACATTACATTCATGTAACTTTTATTGTTTTTGCAGTGTAGGCCAAAATGGCTCGCAGATGGGAGATTTTTTTTCCGTCTTATGTGACATTTATTGTTATATTTTGGCCAATTCACTCAATAACTACATTAATTATTATGTATATGTTATTATCATATACGAGCTATATTACTGTTAAGTTTCATTAAAATCCATTCAGTATTTTTTAAGTGAAAGAGTAACAAAGATCCATACAAACCATAAGATTGAAATTAAAAGCGCAAGTGGTTAATATACAACTTTAAAGCGTTGTAGATGCTAAACAATCATATAAAATGAAAAATGGTGTTAGGAACCTAAATATGATTTTTGATTATCTAGACAGTGATACCCCACTCGACATATTTTGTCAACTTATTTTTTTTACTTCGTCACAATATGGCGCCTAATTTTGCCCATATTGAATTTTGATTACTATCATATCTTTAGTAGCACTCCCATGATTGAGACGAATCGATTGATGTATGAATCATCAAAATTGGTCCAGGCGTTTGGTCTCTAGTGTGCCACAAAGGAACAAACATACATATATAGACTGTTAAACACATAACCCTGTCTGCGCGTCGCGCTTCGCGCTCTTGCATTTCGCAGCCGGGTAAAAACAACATCCAAACGGGAGGTACAACATTTCATAATAATACTCCTTCGCTTTTTAAATCCCTTCCGCGTCAAGGGCTTACTCACCAGACAGCCATAATTTTCACTGATCGATGTGTGGAATTATTCTCAAATTTCAAAAAAATATAAAATTTATCTCACGCGTCTCTCACTACCACAGCGCCGAAACTTTTGATGATTTTTTAGTTCTTAGAATGCCCCATTGTTTCAGAATCTTTAATAAAGGATTCTTGATGCCGAGTGTGATAAACCCACATTCGTATTTTAATACCCCTTAATAAACAACAGTTGTATAAATAACTATTATGATATAGGCATGCGCTAAGAAAGGGTTTTCCAAATCTCACCCCCAAAAGGGGTACACCGGGATTTCAAAGTTTGGACGGTAAACTAATATTTCCCTGTGGAAATATTAGTTTACCGTCCAAACTTTGACTTCACTAGCTAGGGCACCCGCCCGCGACTTCGTCTCTGTAGACGAAGTCGCGGGCGGGTGCCCTAGCTAGTGACATATAAATATCTCTCAATGAAAAACTGTTTGCTAATATCATGAGCTTGTCATAATCAGGTTTCGGTTCGTTTGATTTCTATATTCTATAGCACTGAAGAAAGCTAAGCATTCCACTTCTTGTTATGAGCCAAATTGTATTCCTGAAAATACTTCAGCCGATGACAGCTCACTTTCTCGTGTGACGCAGTTTTTAATACTTTTCTTTTGTAAGCGATTTTTCGATCCTTGTCTTTTGTAAGCGATTTTGTGATCCAGAAAGCGTTCCACTAACTCGTTTTCGTGAACAGAGAATACACCCCGGCAAACTTTTTGAGCAACGACCATAGACAAGGAAACCTGCCCACGAAGTTTGCTGCTACCTATACAACGACATCTTTTTATGATTTAATGGATAAAACACAAATATTGTTGCCACCTATGACCGTTATAGACTTTGAAAACGTCCATTCGATTTGAAGTGGTTACACTTTACAGGGCAATAATGCGAAGATGGTTTAGACCATTAAAACAATACATTTGGCATGTTTGGTGCGTTTAAAAGGGTATTTACGACTTTTCTTATACAAAAATTATATCATCAAAGAGTGGCTTATTAAAAATAAAAAAAATGGAATTTTATTTTATTTTACGCGCTGTGTATCTACTTGTATATTATTTGCTCGAAAAAAGCGGCAGACAACTTCGTGTCTAGACTGTACCACCACTTAACATCAGGTGGGTTGGAGTCGTTTGCCTACCTACGAGTTGTAGTAACTCGTAGTTAAAGAAATACTTATATCACTGCCGGATTAAGGGGAAGGCAACCGGGGCTCAAGCCCCGGGGCCTCCACAAACGGGGGGCCCCCACAATAGAGACTTCGGAAAAAAAAATCTTTCAAATTCCAACTAGTAAACACTAGTAAACATCTTTTCCTTTGATATTTTTTTGCTCTTTTATCTTTACCTACAGCCTACAGTACTTTGTACATCTAACATACATGATTATTTGATTATATTAATCTCAGGGCCGAATTAAAGGCAGGGCAGGTGGGGCTGTGGCCCAGGGGCCTCCACAACAGCTTATGAAATAACAAAATTTCGATGGGTCAACAAGCATGCAAATCCTAAGTGGCCCGGGGCCTTCACAATAGGATAAAAGATAACAAAATTTCGATGGGTTAACAAGCATACAAATCCTAAATCCGGCCCTGACTTATATTGTAAAAAGTACGTAAGTACGAACTACTTCTGTCCGAAGCGGCCCTCACCGTACAGGTCGGCGGGGTCATGCTATTCATAGGCGACGCTTCCGATGCGTGCCGACATGGCACTCTGTGTGTTTGATATAGACTACCTCTTCTGTCCGAAGCGGCCCTCGCCGTACAGGTCGGCGGGGTCGTGCTGTTCTTAGGCGACGCTTCCCATGCGTGCCGACATGGCACTCTGTGTGTTTGATATAGTATACCTCTTCTGTCCGAAGCGGCCCTCGCCGTACAGGTCGGCGGGGTCGTGCTGTTCGTAGGCTACGCTTCCGATGCGTGCCGACATGGCGCGTCGCTGGTGCTGATCCAGAGCGCGCCGCACTGCTCGCTCGTCCGAGCATACGTCGCAGCGGTCGCCGCACCGCGGGGGCTCCTCACCGAAGTACTCCGCGAACGTGCGGTGCCGACACCTGATGCCCAAACACTAGATTACAGATTAGAACAAAGGAGATCTGGAAGAGGAGATTGGTTCACACATCCTATACCGGCCATTGCGAAAGTTGCTTAACTTTCATGATCGCAGTTCGCTAAGCTAACCACATGAACTCCTCACCTACCTATCACCAATACGCCATCCATCATCAATCATTGCCAAATACTAATCTTAAACTAATTTCCTAATAAATAATATTTACATTTTAATCTAATGGTAGCCATACACACTACGAGAAATCGTTACGATTAGACTGTACAGTCCGAACGGTACCGATAAATCGTAGCGTGTATGTTATTAAAACTGCACAGTTTCCTATACGTACGCCACGTACGATAAACTGTACCGTTCGAACTGTACAGTCTGATCGTAACAATTTCTCGTAGTGTGTATGGCTACCTAAGACTGGAAATTCCATTCAGTCAGCGCTGTACGGCCAGGCGCTGTCGCAGCCTGAAATTTTGGAGGGGGTCACTCACTACACTAATAAAATATAGGTATTTGGAATAAAATAAACATTATTGCACAAGACACAATTTAGTATATGCATTAATTATAAAATATTGTTATACAATCTTTATCATAACGACGCATTTCGATTTTGCTAGGATTACCAAAACTACGTAGTTCGGTTCCTTGTTTCTGAACTAGTACTAGATGTCATTTTGGCCATCTTACGTAGTTCATAAAAACACCACTAAATGTCAACAAACTATAAATTTATCGTTGTTAGAAATTTCCTTTTAAAATTTGGCAAATTTTTGAGATTTTTCTATTTAACTTAGATTTGGGGGGGGGGGGGGTCAGGTCCCCTGTGACACCCCCCTTCGAACCGCGCCTGTGTACGGCTAGGTGTTAGGATCTAGAATTGTACATATACTAATTTTTTATCATAGTGCTGGTCTTATCGCTAAAGGCAATTTCTTCAAAAGTAATAAATCCACTTCCATTTTGTGTATTATGGTTCTGCCAATGTCAGGGTTATAAAAGGCAAGTAATCATCAATCAGTAGTTAGATTAAACTTTGTATAAAGAAACGACAATGTTAGCAAAAAATGTCGCCCACAAAATAGACAGCCATGTAGTTCAGTTCGCTTATTCCACTTACTTGACACCTTCACAGTATTTAACCATCATTTCGAAACTTTTATAATTATTCTTGCATCTTTTCTTTTGATCTTCAGTTTTGGCGCGTCCCATTTCACTTTTTAGAAGAAAATCCACAGCGTTTCGTTCGCTGTTGCAATAGTAAATGCGGCAAAATGCGGGCTTTCCATCACGACCCGCTCTGCCAGATTCCTACAAGCATTGATAACTGTTAAGTATCCACAGAATATGAAATAAAAGAGTATATAATCATCAGCTATGGCTGGCAAAATTATCTAAAGCTCAAATTGATTTTGACAGCAGAATAGCCTCTTCATGGTCTATAGAAACTAAAAATAAAGGAGACGCTGCTATCAAATTTAGTTTTAACTTTAGAGAATCAGCCCATTTTTAAGTTTCGCCAATGTTAATTAAAGAAAAATCAAAGGTTTATTTTATTAAATAAAAAAACGGTCAATTGCGAGTCGGAATCGTCCATGAAGGGTTCCAAGCAGCAAGTAACATAATATAAAAGTTCTTATAGTTCGTTGTAACTTTGATCGATGTTTTAATAATTGTGTATTTTGTTTATTAAGTTATTGATAAGTAAACATTATGGTTCACTGTTTATTATGCATAAGGTTTATGTTTATGAAATGAAAGGTAAATTGCGGTTTACGATTTATGATGTATTAAATCAACTACTAACTAGATCTCGTTCAAACCAATTTTCAGTGGAAGTTTGCATGGTAATGTACATCATATATTTTTTAGTTTCATCATTCTTTTAATGTTACAGGGGGGGGGGGGGGGGGGGGGGGGCACACATTTTACCGCTTTGTAAGTATACCTCGCGTAAACTATTCAGTTTATAAAAAAAAATATAAGACACCTCAATATCATTTTTGAAGCCCTATCCATAGATATCCCACACGTATGGGATATCTATAGATATAAACATATATTTTTTTTTCAGTTTCAGTTCTAAGTATGGGGAACCCCCAAAATTTAGTTTTTTTTTATATATTTTTGTGTGAAAATCTTAATGCGGTTCACAGAATACATCTACTTACTAAGTTTTAACAGTATAGTTCTTATAGTTTCGGAAAAAAGTGGCTGTGACGAATTCATAAGAGTTCCGTTTTTTGCCATTGGCTACTGAACCCTAAAACACATTGGCCATTATATTGTATAGGTAAAGGGTGTTACAAAATGATGTTTCTTACTTGGTAGTAAGCAGCAACATTCTGAGCTAAGCCCCAGTGTGCGACGGCCCGAACGCTAGCCTTATCTACGCCCATACCAAAAGACACAGTAGCGCATATACAAGTACATTCACCACGAGACCACTGTTCTTGGACTGCTATGCGATCTGACGATTTCATACCTATTAACAAAGTATAATAAGAATAGTGACTGGCTTATTTTTATTAAGGCATACTCCTCACTGAGCATTGTAGATAAGGGTTATTCTTTATAATAAATATGTTTGTAGAGAAGGCTTCTAAATTATAGGTCTAGTGCCTAAAAATATCTAATATAATATATGGTTATAGCCTATAAACCAGCATTACCGATATTTTAGGCACAAACAAAGACTTTAATCATCAGATGCCCCTTTATTGTGCTATGGCATCCAGTGTGTGGGAGTTGACATTTTACAAACATACAGATTACAAAATAATACTACAGTTTTTCAGTGTCAGAGAATTAGTTAGAATTAAATCTTTGAGCTAAAAGTGGCAGTCACTGCAAACACTAATGTTCAGGCTCAGTTACGTCAATAAACTTTAAAGTTTGATTAAATTTGATGCTGTCATTCTCCTTGGAATAACAATAGAATGCAACAATGTGACTTAATGTAGCATTAATAGAAATTTCTTTAAGTGCATCAGCTAGTAAGACATAACATAATTACCTCCATTGTAGGCCAATGCTTTTAGTCCCCTCTTTGTCAACATATTAGCTAATTCAACTGTCTGATCACGAGTCCTACAGTAAACAATAACAACATTTTTGTCCTTCTGAAAAGATAGACATGCATGTCATAAATTTATTGCTGTATTAAGATCACCATTAAAATAGGAGAAGGAATTACATGGTAACATCAGTTTGTAGATTTAGGACACATTTTGAGTACTAGTGGTGTATAGTAGTGGGTTTTAATTTTGTTGCTTTAAATAGATTTAGAGTTTTGTTTTTATGGATCCCACCTTTTGTTTTTAAATATAGGTCAAACTATTTATAAGGACATTTAACAAACTGAGCATTATACAAAGTTAAAGAGATTGGTTGTTAAATAAATATTTCCAACACTCACACCAATTAGCCTAGTCCCAAGGTAAACACTGTAAAACTTGTGGTTTGGGATACTAGGGTAATGGATAGAATACATATGCAGTACATATATAAGTATATTAATAGAGAGGAATATAAGATATCATTTCACTATTATTTAATAATATGTTTTAACTGCTGGCACAGGGTTGCACTTGATCAAACACACTGGAATGAGCTGGAGGAGGCCTATGCCAGAGGGCATGCCAAACTAAGAGATTTTGTATAATTTAAATTTCAAAAAAACAGTGGCAAAAAAGGATTAATAAATTAATTTACTATTAATATACCTCTGTTGAGCATATTACTAAAACCTTTTTGTCAATACGTAAACATCTTATGTCATATCATGTTCACAGTTTGAAAATCTGTAAGCATTAGCAATTATGTGTATGTATAAGTGTAAATTATAGATAAACATGCTAGATCAATATAAAATAACAATACAAAATGTCTTAGAATTTCCAGTAATAGCAAAACAACAAACAAAAGAATGTACACAACTGTAGTTCTTATTAATTTTCGCAACTTAGAAAGTACTGCTTAGTGTCAAATTGTTTTAGTTAAGCAGAGCGAGCATGATGCTCTTAATGTAGTGTTGTATAAAAAAAAAGGTAAACCAACCACAGTCAAGTAATTTTGTTAAATCATGTGATGTTATAGTTTACACTATGAATATTTCTCTAACCAGTTCATAATACCCTTAAAATCATAATACTTACTGCTTTGGCATTTTCATCTCCACCTAAACATTTTTTCAAAAAATCCAACAAGTGACCTATCTCATCTTGTATACAATTTTGATAGACAATATCATAAAATAAATTCTTTCGGAAACTTGGTGTTTTATATTTTGCAACTGGCTGTAACAGTTTCAAATTCGTGAATATATCTTTTGCAACTTCTGCGCTTGCTGTTGCAGTAAGAGCTACCCATGGTATGCATTTGTATTTCTCTCGTATCTCTCCTAACTTAAGGTAATCAGGTCTAAAATCATGTCCCCATTCACTTACACAATGTGCTTCATCAACAACAATATATGAAACCTTTTTGTATTTGACTAGATGTTCTAATAATGTTTTAAAAGTGTTGGTAGCTGCTTGTTCAGGTGTTACATAAAGAAACCTAGTGTTTGGTTTCATACTTCTCAAATCATTGAGAACTCTTTCTCTATCTTTTGCTGTCATTTTTGAATTTATAGATTCAGCAATAATTTTACTTTTAGTAAGATGATCAATTTGATCTTTAATGAGTGCCAACAGCGGTGAGAAAACAATTGCCACTTTATTATCTTGTAACATAGCCGGAAGTTGAAAGCAAAGGGACTTCCCTGAACCGGTTGGCATTGACACATAGACATCATGGACACCTAAAAAAATAAACCATATGATTATTTTACAGGTAGGAATTTTATTTAAACCATAAAACCATTTTTTTAATAAACATTCAACTCAGGTCAAGTACAAAGCAATCTTTTTCATAATTTTAAAGATGGAATTTAAGTTGATTTATTATTGCATACTAATCAAGTAATACTCATTTGAAATATTGCAAATGATAATAAAGCTATAATAAAAATAATATGTTGCAAAAACAACATTTTGTAGCTAACTATTCTTTAACAAAACATTGGTATTTTAGACGAATCATATTAGTAAATAAAAAGTATATACTCATAAATAAAACAATAATATTCTTTTTAGTACCTCTGGCGATAGCTCGCACAGCCTGTTCTTGAAGTTCACTTTTAAATTTTCTATGTCCAAAACATTCAGAAAGTTTGTCTATTATGCCATCCATTATGCTGCTAACTGTAAATTTGAAATCCAGTAATTAACATCAATTAACACTCATTATTTCTGTAGCACTAAAAGGAATGAAGCTATACCACATCATTTACACAAAATTCAGTTTAGATTTCTTCTGGGAAATTTATTTAATAACGATAAACAGAGCAAACAACCTCAAAATTTTTGACAGACATTACAGATTACAGAACAGTTTTTTTTAAGATTTACGGCCGTGAGTTTCTCCATTTCGGCCGTTCATTTCATCAGTTTGATTTAGATTTTTGTAAGATATACGGCAATTGACTAGTAGGTATTCTGCAGTTATTGTATATCTTTATTGAGCCATCTATCAATCAAATTATCTGTATATAAAATTATATAGAGAAAATTGTACAAACGAATAGCCTTCCTCAGGCCTCGTTGGTGTTGGAGTTTATCATCAACGATCAAAAATGGTCCAAGAAATTAAACTACCACTTCAAACTTCTGTTTTCACTGGTGATTGCAACGGATTATTAAAAGCTTTTGAATATATTAATCTGATGAAATTGCATAAATCCGTTATATTTTCTGTTATATCTTAAAAATTTCCTTTTAAATATAACCATCACCCTGTTATAATATATTGTAGAAAATTGCTCTGGCAATGTGATTTAAAAGATTTCTATGTAGTTTTTGCCTGGATGGTGGATGTACCTAGTCATATAGGTATTTTTGGCAATGAAATTGCTGTTAAACTTACCAATGATGCTGTGGATTGTGGAGATATTTTTCCATACAAAAACTTTATTAATGATCTTTTAGTTCTTCCTAATTCGGATCTACGTGAATCCTGGGAAGAAATAAGTTCTGTTTCTAGTAGAAAGAATGGCATTACTCACAAATTCAAACTTTCATTCCTACAAAGTCTTGGTTTTATAACTTTAGATTTAGCAAGCAAGATAACGACGTCTATCATAACATAATATATAATTCTATGAAATGTGATATTTATTTATGTATTTAAAATTTTATCCTGAAACATAACATTAAAATGTACATATGTAAATACTTACCTGATCCTTTCCGTTTCAGGTAAGTATATTTTGCTACCTTTACATTTGTATGTGGCTGACGCACAAACCGTGCAGGCCATTAAGGAAAATAAACGACAACAGTCGTTCTTCTTCACTTCCATAAATATTCAACATAATAAATTCAACCCACTGTCACAATGAAAAATAGCAAACACGAATTAGCCACCACTTCACATAGCTATTTTTGTTAGCTATTTATTAATTTGACAATAGTTTGTCCTTATCATGTTCTATAAAGAATTATAAGGACGGACTGATGTCTGGCTTACAAATAGCAAACACGAACAGATAATGCTGGATTTACACTACTCAATTTTAAGGGACCCTTACCCTGACTAAGGGTGGTGTAAAGTGAATTAAGGAGTAGGGGACCCGATCTAGGGCGATCGGTGCGGTGTAAAGGTGCTGTCCGACGGCCTGTGCGGTCGGGCGCGGCCGCGCCACGTAGGGTTGCCAAACGTATAAACTCTTAGGTTTGAGATTTGTCTCTAAAGCTGGTACGAGGTAAAAAGATACCTCGTACGCTTTGTGATGGCATAATGTAGGTGTACTTACTGAGTCGATCCTTTATGGACTGGACTTTTATTTACTTTCTGATTATATTTTTGGTTTGTGTACATGACACAAACAGTCAACATTGTTCAAATATCATATCAAATTGGACGAGATTTCTATTAACCTCATATAATGTTCGGAATTAAAAGATTGGCTTAGCAGAAAATAATCTTTATATTATGCCCAAATTCAGTCTTTGGCCGTCGCAACTTGGCAGTTAGGATGGAAAGAAAAGGTGACTCGTCTGGGAATATCCGTCCGTAGTAGGTAAAGGGTCCAGCGTCTTCCCCAACTTCAGGCGCCAGTAATAATGTAGGTAGGTACAACCGAAGACTGTCCGTCACGTTCAAGTGGTGCAGCTGTTTCCCGGCTGAAAATCCTCCGCCAGCCTCATGGAAACAGGAGTCGGTCCTCTTCGTGCAATAGATAGACTTAGCACCTAATACACAAAGGGCAGCACCTTAATAAATTGCTCCCGGTCTCTTGACATGGCCAACGATCAACGGTTCAAACAGAAAATAAATACAAAGAATATCAAATATTTCCTTAAGAAATACTTTGTTGGATTGATTTGTGATAACCATAAGTAGTAAATTGGTTAATTGCCCTCCTTCATTACATGTACAAAATGTAGCCGCACCACTCTGTCATCGTCATCAATACAATGGCAACATGACGAGGTGTGCGATCCTCTGCGGCAATAGTAACTCTACCTGCATTTCATTGATAAGAATTTGTGTATGTACTCCCTTACTGTCCAACTGGTGAACACGGCGACGGTCAAACCTTACATGATTTTTGTTCGCCGTTATTACTAATATGTTTTGCAATTGAAATTGAAAAATAATAATAAATTATATGTTATAAATTTTAAAATTTATAACTTATAAGACCTATGTCCACATACAACTGTACAATGTATAGAGACTGATAAATCTCAAACGTTAGAGTTCTCATACGTTTAGCAACCACGTGCGGTGTGGCCGCGCCCTCGACAGCACAGGCCGTCGGACTAGGGATTGCAATCCGGAAAAACGGACGGAAAAGTTAGAAGCTGAAAGCGCCTTTTCGGCCGCAGGCTATATTTGCAGCTCTATTAGAAGTCGTTTAGCTGATGACACAATTAACAATATTTGTTTTCTACGATCTTATTTTCAAAATCAATGGTGTCGATTCTGGCACGATTATCTAAACCTAAACTTAAATTTGACAACAGTCTATCTTTGTCATTCTCCATACAGAATGAAAAGGAGAGACTAATCTTTAATTTAGTTTTAAGTTTAGAGAATCATGCAAGAATCGACACTAATATTGATTTTCTTTTAATACTTATATTTTCTTACAATTATTACTTAAAATAATTATTTATCGTAAGTTGATTAAACTAAAGAGTTCTAAACTCATTATTGTGATAATTTTTGAAATTCAATCGTTCGACAGATTCAGCAAATCATGATGGTATCAGTCTTAAACACTTATAAGACTTGTTAGCATTCTTAAATACTTTAATAATGATTTAGATCTCATTTCAGTTAATTACGGAAGGTAAATTGTATCTATTAGATATTATAGTTACTTGATAATTAATATTGTTACTTATAAATTGATCTATCTGTGAAAGTGAAATCTGGAAAGACTGAGCTACTCGTTACGCCGTAAAACTATTACTAGTAACTCTTACGGTACCAAATTTTAATTATTTTCTTGTTGTCTATTTGTCCTTAGCATTGGTTAGGAAATAAAGTCGATTCTATACATATATTTGTGATTTATTTTTTATAAACTACCTACATATAAGTGCAGTGACACCTGATTAACTCACTTATTTTGTACGAAAAAGTGAAAATCATCCTGATTTGATCAATGATGATCGATGGAAATCGATGGTCGTATCCGGCCGGACTGAAAATGACGCCGGGTAGCAATCCCTACGTCGGACTGAACCTTAATATTGCTACCACCCTAGCTAGGGGCCCGCTCACACGACAATACAATACAAAACGCTTTATTGTATACCACAGAAAACATTATTACATTTAGTACAAAATCAATTAAAACTCACCCTTTCAATCGGGCCTTTAAAATTGGGTAGTGTAGTGTAAAGCCCGTTTAAGTAATGTACCGGCTTCTCATTGGTCTATTGTCTTGTTTGTTGTCTGTCTTGATTCTTGAAGAAGAAAAAAACCGCTTAAATTTTGTATTTTTTTAATATTTCCTTCATTAGTTATTTTTTTATTTATTATTTATTGTATATTCAATAAAAAATACCATTAATTATTCATCTAGTTAAGTATTTTGCAATGTGCATATAAAAATATGTTTCAAAGTACAACAATGATGGCTAGTGCATTTGATTTATTTTGTGTAAGTTATAAATAATCAAATATCTTAAAACTTTGGTTGTAAGATAAGCCTTAGTTATTGTAATTTCCATCATACGGGATTTTAACATAAATTTCGTGTGTGCTGTACAAGTTCTTTTAACTTCTGTTTTGTCTGCCTACAACCTTTAATTTGTCTAATACAGTATAAATAAACTTATTATTTTTTAGGATCAAAGTGAGGAAGTTATTATACCATTACAAGAGAATGAAGATGGGCAAGTTCATAATGGTAAGTACTTATTAAAATAAACAACCTGGGTATCTGTCATGGTACCTTTTTTGTAATGCAGGCAGCATACTTTAATTTTTATTTAGTTTGATATGTTAGGAATAGATATGAGGTAGGGATGTCGAAAGTTGAAAAAAATATTGATATATCGATATTTTAAAAAATATCAATATCGGCTTCGATATATCGCGAAAAAAACATCAATATATCGGACCAATTTTCCCAAAAAATATATTTAGGTCAGCCTAGCACAGTAATAATAGTTCAATACAAATTCTAATTAAAGAAAGAATTATCAAAGTACCAAATTGCCGCTACACTACATGACAGTACAGTATCTCACGAAATATGACACGCAGAATAATAATGGAACGAAAATTATCTCCCTAAAAATAGACCTTATTTTCGAATGATGAAAATGATTGCAGGGCTTCTCAGGTGCCATCTTTCGTAAACAAGACTAGACAGTCACAAACTTCCACAGAATATAATGGAAATCAGCACAACCGATTCACCAGCGAAACAGATTTACAAATAATAGACAATACTAAATACAGCACAGATCATAGATATGTTGAATATCATTAATCTGAGATCCAGTAAGATTTTTCCAGATACGAATTTAGTTAGATCGTGATATGCCGCTAATAATTAAAAAATATCGTTTTTGATATGAATTTCGATATTGGTTATTTTGTATCGATGTATCCATATATCGAATCAAAATATATCGGCAAAAAATATTGATATATCGAACATAAAATAT